GGCCCACCACCTCACCACGCGAGCCGCGCACGAGGATGTCAAGCTCGAGCTCGAAGTCGGTGCGCGGAAGTCTGCGCTTGATGATCGGACTCTCTCCGGTAAAGTAGAGATGCTCACCGAGAATGAAGCCGCCAGGAAGCGAGGGCGCCGGCTCGCGGCTGAGCTCTTGGGCCCGGCAATGCACGTCCCCTCGGTTGCCGGAGAAAGACATGGAAACAGCGTCAGCGTCGCCGTTGCGGGCTGGGCCGGTGACCGATCCTCGGCAGCCAAACACGGCCTTGTCCCCCTGCTCGTCGACGAACCCGCCGCCAATAAAGTAGAGCTCCTCTCCCACTCTGAAGCCACCGGGCAGAGGCGGCGCCTGCTCGCGGCTGAGCCAGGTCAGAGAGCAGTTTATGAAGCCTTTGTTCCCTGGAAACAGCAATTGCAGGCCGTTACCTTGGTGTGTGCCCTCGGTCGCGGGGCCGACGACCTCGCCCGACTGGCCGTGCACGAGCCTGTTTCCAGACTTAAACGACTTGTTCGGGCCCGTGTAGTACAGCTGGTCGCCGGCCTCGTGACCGCCCGGCAGAGGCGGCGGCTGCTCGCGGCTGAGGTTTGGCAGAGAGCAGTTTATGGAGCCTATGTTCCCTGGAAACCGCACCTCCAGGCCGTTGCCTTGGTGCGCGCCGGTCGCGGGGCCGACGACCTCGCCCTGCTGGCCGTGCACGAGCTTATCGCCACTCTCAAACGAATGGCTCGAGCCCGTGTAGTACAGCTGGTCGCCAAGGTCGTGACCGCCCGGCAGAGGCGGCGGCTTTTCGACGCTGAGCCGGGACAGATAGCAGTTTACGTGGCCTTTGTTCCCTGGAAACAGCATCACCAGGCCGTTGCCTTGGCGTGTGCCCTCGGTCGCAGGGCCGACGACCTCGCCCTGCTGGCCGTGCACGAGCTCATCGCCACTCTCAAACGAATGGCTCGGGCCCGTGTAGTACAGCTGGTCGCCAAGGTCGTGACCGCCCGGCAGAGGCGGCGGCTTTTCGACGCTGAGCTGGGGCAGATAGCAGTTTATGGAGCCTTTGTTCCCTGGAAATTGCACCTCCAGGCCGTTGCCTTGGTGCGCGCCGGTCGCGGGGCCGACGACCTCGCCCTGCTGGCCGTGCACGATCGTATCGCCATTCTCAAACGAATGGCTCGGGCCCTCCCAGTACAG